TATGAATGAAGTGATGAGTGAAATGATTTATATCATCTATGTTGTGATAGTTATGGTTATAATTCTTATTGTAATGATTAGTGTGATTATTCATGTATCTCTGTCTATACAGATAATACCTATTTTCACTCATTCTTCTATTATTTATATTTCTTTGTTGATGTGAATTTCTTCTTTTTTGGTTATTTGTTTTTCTATATTTTTTGTTGTATCTCTGATATGACAACTTTTTTTTTCTATTATTTTAAATAATAATAAAAATTTTTAGAATAACCTTCTAATTTTAATAAAAAAAATGCACGAAGTGGGGTTTGATCCCACGCATCTTTCGATATCCACGCCTAAAGCGGACGCCTTAGACCACTCGGCCATTCGTGCTTTTCCTTTATATTACTTTTTCTTCTCTTATTAGTTTTTTTCTTCTTTTAACTCTTTCTTATCCGTTGTTGTGTCTTATTCCTTTGAACATTATGTTTTGATATTTTCTTTATCAACATATTATTTATAGTATATTCACTGTTTAACTCAATTTCTTTATTTCATAGTTTTTGTTCTTATTGTGATTTAAGTGTGTTAATGTGTTTTATTTGTGTTTTGATAAATTGAACTTTGTTAAATAAAAAGATGAAATGAATAAGACATATCATTATTAAATTATGTATTTCATAGTTAATACAACAATTTGTGTTTATTAGACATATCATTGAATGAAATATTACATTTTGTCATTGTTCTGAATATCAGTCAATTGTTCTTCTTATAAAGAATTACCCTCATTTATTTTTTTATAAAGTATAAACAAGTCATTAATTATTTATAAGAATATGTCTATGATAATAATCACCTTCAATAAATGTTAGTAAACTATGAAGTGTATTTCAATTGTTTTTTAGTTATTGTTTATTTTTTGTTTTTTCAAACTTTTTTTTTAAAAATTGTTTATCTTTTTGGTTGTTGTTCTTCTAAATAATACTAAATTTCATGTATTATTCATATACGTTTGAATGACTTTTTGATAGAATTTCAGTTTCATGTATGTTTACAATTATGTTTTGTTTCATTAATTGAATCTCATTCTTCATATAAAACATGGTTAATGATTCTAAAACTGTGTGAGTGTAACTCATTGATTATTTCATAATTTTCTTGATATTTCATGTTATTTTGTGTAATTAAAAATTATTTCAATTAAATATGATTGTTAAATGATTATTTTTAATGATTCTATATA